ATGATAGTGTTTTTAAACTGCAATTGCTACCATACACTCTTGTACAGCAAGGTGCCCGTCTACACCCAAACGCCTAAATATTGATGTTATTACCATCTACTTTTCACTCACTCGACAACATGCCAGTCTACAAATGTCCAGGCGTACTCCTGATTGAAATCATTGAATTCATTTCAACGATGCAGTTCTACCCTACGCAATCGATAATCGTGTCGACAGCGTTTGAGTTATGACGGATGAGTATGGTAAATCATCCATCGACATTACTTTAAGAAGCTTGAATCCATACCTATCTTGTTGTTTTAGTACCGTAGTCGCTCGCAGTTGTTGCAATTGTATTGTTTTCTTACTTTGGTATGCGATTCTCAAGCTTGTATGGTTGCAATACCAACAAATTTTGTGATGATGTAGTGAATACTTTAAAATGATGCTAGGCTGGAGTTTCATTGACTGTTAAGGCTAAATGTGATCATGTAGCATTAAGCAACAAAAAAACTGTCTTTTGCTAGCTATTTATCTTCAGCATGTTCCCGCAAAGTAGAGTAGACTACAAAGATAGGATCTATCAAGCTAATATCCTTAAATGAAATAGTTGTATGGCTAGTTATACGGCAAATGGGGTGATAGCATGACGAAATGATGCACTACGCTTTCACAACATCGTTATTTTACCGCACCACGTAGGTTTAACTGTGAATTATTCAGCTAATCCTGATTAGCGGTGATATTTTATTTATTTTTCCCCAATCCAAAATAGACCGACTCTTTCCTGTCATCTGTGTGGGTTGCTTGTTTGTGGTCTACGTTAGAACGTACAGATTGAGAACCCCTGGTGGTCAGTCATTTCCAATGCTGGACATTTTTCATCGTGGAATAGTAGGCATAGTGACATCTTGATTCCTTCCCTAGCTAACAGAACTTATACGTATATTGATTGATCGATTACGCTATTGCTGAGAGATTATTCCTTTGCTATGGCAATTTGATAATACAGTACGTTGATACTTAGCTATTAAAGCCATATGTGACGGTTGTTGCGTCGTAAATTTAAAATGTTGAGTACTGTACCTTATGGTATGCTAACGCTTTAAAATCAGTCTAATTCAACATTCAAGCACCTTGCTACTTTATTATGTGGTATTAATTGACCGAAGATGGCATAGCTGCTGTACTGTTTTCGTATTATCTATTGGCCAAAGTGCTATTCGGGCATTGTTTGCCACATACAATAGCGATAGCCAATATGGCACTGATCTGGCCATCAATGATGATCAATAGAATCGAGATCGCTACTTTAAGCTACACAACGTGGAATTGTACAATATAACTGCAACTTTTACAGTATATCTCATCGATCGATGAGGGTACTTTGAAAAGAGGAGAGGTGGCAAGAGCGTTACAAGTAACTATTTGAAAATACTTCTTACTATTAAGTATCGCCGATTTTAGGCTATATAGCCAGAGTAGTGATTATTATAATTTATGACTGATATCGTACGTCAACATTTCAAAATTTTATGTTCTCTGCCTTGTTGAACGATCGTCATACTGCAATGTAAGACAAAATTGTTGCCTTCATGACTACAGACTGCGCTATATTGTATTATTATACACATTAGATTCATCGAAAAACAGCATGTACCGTGGATACAGGTTAACTCTTTCGAACCATTGACTACTGGATATTGAATGCCATCCATTGACAGACTATTTAGTAGTTTATTTTATTTTGATGATACAGTAACACTAAATTTTCAACGTAAAATTTTTAATAAGAACGTTAATGACGCTGTAAATAGACGAGAGTAGGGAATTGCGATTGGATGCATTAGCCGAGATATGGACTTTTTCTACTTAACGTCCTTTTTATGATTAAAACACATTATTTAATTAAAAGTTCTATGACTAATCGGCGCAAGATTGAAGTTTGTCACTGCCAAATAGGCGTACAGTATTGAGATATGACACTGAAAAGGTTTCTTGTCCTCTATGGTTGATGACTAATACTATCGGCGCTATTATTGTTCTGATTTGTGAAGCATTTCCGTTTGGCAATATTGCCGGCGAACGAATATTCATCTCGTCGAGTCTTGACAGTTATAATAACATTGATGAAATGGAGTATTCATTCTTAGCTCTATAGGGGTCATGGATGAATCATCAACTTTGATAGAAGTATAATTACCGTGCTATAATATACACCAGTAGAAACATACGTATTGTATCCGATTTAATTAAATTTAATAATAATAACCTGTACATGTAGACATTATCCTACGCTAACTAGAGAGATTCATAAAATTGATTAATCTGTTTATTTGTGACTTCTTTTAACTTTGGATGTAAGCATCATCTGTTCGATATCGTTCGAGATAATTATCCTATTGACGTAACAGCATGTTGACGTGAATCTAGAGAACTGCCAATGATGCAGTGAAAGTAGACAGCCTACTTAGCTAACAGTATTTTATCATGCTTAAACATGGAGAATTTATTAGCTAAAATGGAGTCCCACCGCCGGTCCTTATTGCAAGCTAGCCAAAGGATGGGCATTTTTGACCCACATTTGTCTCTTGTAGGCTTTGTGATATTGAATTGGATTGCAAAGCAGTTCGACTCATACTACAATGGGTTGAATAAAAAAAGAGTTTTAGCTACATGACGGCGATAGTTTTAGTTAGTTTTAATGCCGTTTCTTACATTTACGAGAAATACTGAAATCTGTCAGTCGAATGAAAACTTATCGCTTCTGTATTTTGCTCTGTTAATAATACAATAGTACAGTATATCAGTGTGATGTCGGCTATCATATGTATGATGGCAGTACAAGGATTGCGCAGTTTTAACACTATTTTAACATGATGCTCCAGAGTATCGGTGGTGATGCTTATTGCTTACTTCTTGTCAAGAGTTTTTTGTTATTTTAATGTAAACGACTAGAACTCCAATGACTGGCAATAACGCTATAATACAGGTTAAATAACAGCTAACAATAATTATAGATAGTACTGTGCAGATAATGATCAATCCATATCAATGACTAGAGTAAGCCTATTGTATGAAATGCCTACAGCTATTATGATCATGTAGCGCTTGCCGCATGACTGATTGTATTTTTTTGGACCGCTGTACATTACGTCGGAAACAAGCTGACGACATTATACAGGATACTGTAAAGCAGCCTATTAGTGAAGATAAAATTGCTTAAATAAATAAGCCGTCATCTTATTCAAACAACTGTATCCACTTTGGTGCTGCGAACACTAGGCATTGTTCTATCAATGGTTCTTGTTGTCCAGCATCTTTTCAAAAGATTCTTTGTTCATGCTATGACATTTCTTTCTAGAATTACACGCAAGACAAATACGTCTGTTGAAAATTGTTTATTTGTGACTTGAGTAATCAATAGTATAGTAACTAATGTACCTTAGGTTATTTCTATTAATTCTTATTGACGCCTTCAGGGACTTGTCCATGCTGTTCATTATGACAATTGTTTTTTGCGAACTGTTACACGCTATGTTGGAAAATACAGGTAACTTGGATAACTTCAACACGTGCAGAAATCGTTACCTAGACGTATTTCCAGGTAGAATCAACTGCCGTCGATGCACCCATGTTCTGCATCCTTGAAATGTGTTTATTTCCAGCCAACTGTAAATGGAGACATTAAAGATTTGTACTCGAAACAATCTTGTTGAATGACTAATTTTTAAGTTCAACTTAGAGAAATTGGACAGTTACGTAAAATGTCCAATAGACTTTACAAGTGTACATATCCACGATCTTTTACTAAATCATCATTTATGTCTGTGTATTAATTAACTATATTAGCGATGATATGATTCCACAACTAGTACGTACGAGTTACGTTGAAGACGTAAGATAGTAGCAATACTCATTTCAAGAGTTAAAAAATACGTTTTTTATCATTATAAACTCCAAGACTACCCAATCTACTTGGAATTAGTTCGCTTAGTAGCCATTTACGTTTGCCAGAGACCAATACAACGATTGCATGATGCTGCTTGCTTGGATAGATGTTCTATTAATCCAGTTAGACAACACGATTTTGTGATGGTCACGAAACAGCATAGCGGGGGTGTTACAATTTATTATCAATCTACAGTGTAATTAATTGTATTTCATCATACTGTGTGCCTCAAAATATCTCAGAACGAATAGTAAATTCAATTAAATTATTATTTAAGCATCTGTTCTCTGCTGGACCTTGATTATACAGTATATGTATACTACAGTGTAAACTGTATCTTGTGATTGGCGTTTACTGTAAAAGTACAAATGAAGGGTCATTTGAGGAAATGAAGTAACATTTTAATGATGGTACTTGAAGAAGTTTATCATTATTATTATAAATAAGTACCAATGTCCATATCGATCGTCTCCAATCCTATTTAATCGAACGTCGATGTTAACACAGTGGCGCAACATGTTTATTCGATCGGAAAATCACAATACTGTACACTGCAAAGTCTTGAACAATATGACACGTCATTGATATCAATCCTGAAATGGTAGGGTTCTTTTGAATCCCTATACTGTATAATAATCATGCTACAACTTGTACAGGATACGAAAGGCGATGGGTCCGTACTTTCAATCATTCTATCCTAATTCTGTCATGACGTATACTGTTACGGTAGCGTACGGTTCTATTTTGACCCGTATGCGATAATCTTGCTATCACTTGTACGCGAAACAAAGGACGATAGATTTGTATTTTTAAATTGTTCCATCCTAGTCCTGTCACGACTGCAATATCTATTTTTACGTACAGTATTCATTTTGAAATGCTATGATTGATGACATCGGGCGTTGATGATTCATCACGTTGACACAGTCTATAGGGACGAAATTGATTTAATGCAAATGATGCAATACCTATTGCTCAATCGATACTAGTCTAACGTGTAAGCTAGGAGGAAAATCATTAATAGAAAGAATAGAGGTTTTTTATTCAAAATACTCAACGACTCGAGATGACTAGAACAAAATGGGGCACCACGAATGAAATGCTAATTAACGGAAAAGGTAGAATAATAACGTAAACGAAAACGTCTAATTTAAGCCTGGTTAAAATTATCCATACATGTTATTGGAAATGGCATAATTTAGATTATAATTACTATACTAATGTAACATCATATACATCGTCAACGGATGCAGGTGTATAGATGCCTATTCATAGAACAAATGAAAAATTCACACTCGCACGATTCCCGAAATTCACGCATCATCCTGAAATATCAGTCAAACTTGCCATTGCTTTGGAAGGATCAGGGACTTAGTATTATATTACTAATATTACTACACCGCACAATTGTTGTAAATTTATGATTGTACACTGCTTCCATCATATGAAAATCACTGTAAAGATTCACTTCGATTTCTACCTGAGGTTGACTGCTTCGTTAAGATGATTAGGAACTGAATAGCCAACTAATTTTAATTCAACAAAATGAAATTTCCTTCTAGTGTGAAAACTAGAAATAACTATTGCCTAGATTTCAGCAGTAACGTTCAACTTTTATGACTTTTGTAAACATTTTCATTGATCATTGATCCTAGATATCCACCCATTAGATTGTCGACAACTTATCAGTTAATGCTGCATTGGAAATTGAATATCGAAAAGTGGTTAGTTTAGACGAACGATGGGCCATTATAAATCATCTGCTTCTATTGTGGTATTCATGTGCGTCTTCTTGTATTGTAATACAAGCTTCGCCTTAGTTACTCGCATAAGTAAGTTAAACGACGTTGTGATAAACGTTGGCCAAGTGTTTAATTACACAATACCAAACAACACTTTCGATCAACAAGAAACCGCTACCAGATATGAGGTAAGATCGATACTGGTATCAAGTATTCACCAATTGTATAAGCTGTACAGTTGTAATGTAAATATGCGTGGAAATAATTAATATGAACAATTAGACTAACATTACCTCGTCAAATAATTGTAAAATGTTGTTTAATGGCAAAAGTTATTGCAAACGATCTGTTTTGAAATGCAGTATTGCCATTGGTACACCATGCCATAACTTATCCTATTTTTTGTCATACTGTACCTAGAAGAGATCAACTTAAAGTACATATGTAAAAGTAGAGTAGTTAATAGATCGATTATAATTAATTAATTTTTAATTTTCTTTCTTATCAGGTTTCCGATTATAACAGTGGTAGCTCTACACTACCATCTTGGCTATTATTTGATCAATCTGCAGGCCGATTTACTGGGTTTCCTACTAGTGGCGATGAAGGTAGCTATAGGTATCGTATCGTAGCTATCAGTATGCAAGGTACAACCAATCAATTAACTGCTGAAACAGAAGTGACTATAATCGTTAGTAATGGTGCATTACCACTACGGAAAATAAGTTATATTGAACGTGAGAATAATGCGTGTCCTAGAAGTGAAAAGGTTCGCGTTGTCAATATCGTATTACAAATGAATGTACCTGGTTTAACTGGGCAAGCACGAATATCTTTAATAGAAAAATTAGCATCGAGATACCAACTTCATCGCAGTAGAGTTTATTTACATCATGGCGACAAGGGGGTGCCGATAATTGGCCAGAGCTATATTGAAGCTAGTACATCTGGCTCAAGTAATACACTTAAAGGTACCGTAAGTTGGGTTATAGGTTGTGAAAACGTCATGACTGGATCACAATATGGAATCACCATTAGAAAACATATAGCCGATGGTACGTTTAGTCAAACTGTTGGTAATTCCATTGTTGGGTATAATTTCGTACTGGGAGTGCCTGTTGAAGATGCAGTAAGTGCAACTGCGTCATCCGGCAGTAGCTCATCTACAACGACGATTAGCTATAGCTTACGCGCGACACCATTAGTAACTGTTGGATTGCCTTCTAGCTCTGCTGTTAAAAGTAGTTATATGCTTACTCCGGTTCCCAGTCAATCTTTACCAAAGGCCAGCAGTATCGTAACAAGTAGTGTTACAATTACAACTTCTGTAAATCAACAAATAACAGCCACACCGACGTCTCCAACGACTGATGTATCTATTGCACCAACAACTACAACACAAGAAAAACCAAAAGTTGATAATCCAATTGGTACAATCGTACTAAGAGCAGGCTTTATTTACCGATTTTCAATCCCAGTTAATACTTTTTCTGACAAGGAAGATGGGAATACACGACAACTATCTTTAAATTTATTTTATGCTAATAATTCTGCTGTATCTCAGTGGTCTTGGTTGCAACTCGATAAAATAAGGCAACAACTGTATGGGCTACCAATGACTAGTAATGTTGGTAGACATCTATATCAATTAGAAGCTAGTGATTCACGTAACCAAATGGTTAGGGACCCGATCGAAGTTACAGTACAACGAACTGAACCTCCTAAGCTAATTCTGCAGTTATTATTAGAAGTAACTTACGATCGCTTTGCCACCGATTTAGCCCTAAGGATTGCAGTGATGGAGGATATTAGCCGCATTGTAGGAGATAGGAATGTTATGCTACAACTGGATGACTTCCGTTACGATGGCTTTCGTAGCACTAGGGTTCGCTATTCTAATTACACTTTAAATGCAAAAGCGTGTGACGTAAATGCTTACTCTTCAATCATCCGTAAAATAGAAAGTATAAAAAGTGTTTCCAGTATTGAAGTCTATAGAGCATTAGGTGTTATTAATTGTGTACCAGAAACTTCGGCTACGCCAACAGTTATTACTGATCGTCAACCCACTGCAACATCTTTGCCAACAAATAAGCCTCCCGTAGTCATGCAGAGTCTTGGTCAACTTGATGCGTACGCTGGGCGAATTTTTGAATTTCAAATCCCTGCTGATGTATTTCTCGATGCCGAAGATGGAAATACAAGAAATCTATCGCTAGCGCTATTGACAGAGAATGCCATTGCTGTTAAATCTTGGATAACTTTAAGAGGCAATCGATTGATTGGCCTTCCCTTAGAAGGAGATGCAGGAATTAAACGCTTCCTCTTACGTGCCACTGACAGCCGTAATGCGATAGGTTATGATTCATTTAATATTAAAGTTAATCCTCTACCTCAACAATATAACTATATTATGTCGATGTTGTTGGATTTAAATTACGACGTTTTTATGGCAAATTTAACAAGACGTATTAATCTGGTAACCGAGATTGCAAAGTCTTTTCAGGAAAGTATCGTAAAAAATCTTTGCTTACGATCTATCACTAGTGGCTCAGTAAATATTTCTTGGACAAACGTCGCCCTGGATGCATTGCCTTGCAATGCAAGCATTTATGAAAGTCTTTCACGGAATTTGAGCAGTCTTCGTAGTAATCCAGTCTTTAATACAGGAGCATATCCTGTAACAGGAAATAATATTAAGCCATCTGCTGAATGTTCTGCAGTTGTTACAGTTACTGTTCCTACTGTACAACCGTCTGTTAATTGGATCGGCACTGTTCTACCTGCAACTTTATCAGCGTGCTTATTTATTATTTTGATATTGATCATATTCTTTATGTATAGAAATGGTAAACTCTTTGGTAATAAAAGGAATAAGAGTGAAAAAGCTTTGAAAGCATCTGGAGGTAAAGCATTCCTGCGCAAAAATCGTCCTGTCATAATGGATGCGGAAGCTGATGATAAACCGAATATCGTATGCAATCCAATAATGGCCACAGCGGAAAAGCCACCGCAGGATCCACCAATATATTCCATCAACACGCAAGATTTACATTCAGATACAGGGTCTAGTAGCTCTTTGCCGAACACGGGGAAAATAGTACGAGATGATGATGATGCTGACGATATTCCCGATCGTCATAATAAATCTATGGGAACTAATCTTAATAGTATATTGTTAATGGAAGACTTTAATCCTGATTCTCCAAAACCGCCACAATATTAGCTTTAAAAATATAATGGCATTATTTGGTATAGCTAGTGAATGTCGTCGATCAATCAATAAGATTGATTGTTGCTATCAAGTTGTTCAATAACGTTATCGTACGACTGAAGCTTGCACTTATTTGTATCATGCGGTATATATATAGGTTTAAAGTATTCTTATCATATGATTTAGATACTGTATATCGACAATATCAAAGTAAATAGTATATAATATGCTTTGGTTACGCTCTAATTGTGTTAGCGTTGATGCCCTAAATAGTAGCAATTACCGTAAGTTATCATTCTTGATGGAATCATTGCATTTACTATAATAATTAATAATTAATCATTGTATCTCATGAATTAATACTATCCAATTGTTCTTGCTATTAGTTTCTGCATGGTTAGATGTTACTGTAATGTATAAAAATGTTATTGTGAACGCAAAGCATAGATATAATCTGTGAATTATTGGAGATATATACTAGTTATTGGTGACACAGGATTGACAAATAGATTATGATGGAATAGCTAGCAAAATGTAAGAAGTATAACGTTAATGATTAAGTATTGTCAAAGAATGACCGCTTGCAGTGTCAGCTGCTGGACTGAGTTACTTATCGATGTGTATGTCTTGACTGAATTGCTCTTACAATTAATTCCATCTGTTCTCTTCCTTTATTCACACCTATTACTCGTGAAGTAAATGTATGCGCAATACGATGTTGCTTACGTACATGCTTTAATGGAGTATTTAAGGAAAGATTTTAGCTGTATCATGTTTGATAAAATTTTGACAAGTTTGGTTGCAGAGTTTTTTATTGTTGTAAGGGCCATCTACGTGTATATCTGACTAGTACGTTTTTATGTTACCCCTTTTGCAATCTGATAAAAATTATTTCATATATTATACTGCGTAAAGTCCATCTGTACTCGTATATGTATTGTGATTGCTTTCTAACAGACATGCTTAAAGTTTCAATCGTATTATTGGAATAGCTTTACTACAGTTTTGTTCTCCATCCAAAATAATTATCGATTTTATAATAATAATAAAATTTACTTTTACTTATTCTTAGTGTGAACGTGCTTCATTCTGATTGCGTCTAGTCTATAGTGATTACGTTGCCTATAATTTCAAGGCTCACGGTAGAAAATTGAATGCTAGGTAGTATTCTGTTTGCTACCGCAACAACTACAATGGTACTACATTAGTTACAGATTGTTATCTCGAATAGTACAGCAGGCTAACAATAATCAAATATTTTGTTGAAATTATTAGCCTTACAACTAAATAGACGTGGCATTTTAGAGTAATTTTTACATAGTTGCTTTATCAACAGGAATATCACACAAACCAATACTTCATTGGACTACAGCATTTTTCAATTAATTATATCTACTTGACTATAATAAAATTTATGATACAAGTGAAAAATGCAGTCCAAAATAGGGGAAAAAACAACGCCAAATACACTTAGTTATATCTTTTGTAAAGAATACATCACAAGAAAACATTTTGTAAAAAATACTTTTTTCTCTGGAATAATAAAGTTAATTATAAGTAAGTTAAAGAAGAAAAAAGATAAAACGGTTTATTTCTGTAAATTATATAATTATGCATTATACGTATATACATAGATATAATTATATCTGATGTATTATAGGACATCAAAGAAAATCTCTTTAATTAACGTCCAACTTTTAGCGTCTTGCAAGATATCAATTCGAAACGCGGCAATAGCATAGGTGATTTTGTGAGCGATAAATTGAAATTGAATCGACCCATGAACAAAATCTGAAACAGTCTGATAATTTTCGATTTTATCTTCTCGGCCAGCTTTGAGTATTGATGCCTTTGCATTTGTTAGTAAATCTGAAGGATGTTGATAGTTACCGGAATCAATAGTAACTGTTTTAAGCTTGACAGGTGGATTAAAGTGAAATTTCATGTAATCACCTTTAATCGGTTTGATACCCCAAAAATAGGATAAGCCGTTGTAAGCTTGTTCTAGTGTATGTTTATCACTAGCCTTGATGGACGTAGTCATATTAGCTGTTGGATTATTTTGATGAGGAATGAATAAATTCTTTTTTTGAGAGTGGACAAAATTTTTCTCCTTCAAGCGTTGTATCTTACCAGTCAAGGATGAGTACTTGCCAACATGTTGAAATAAAGCTGGTCGATAATGTTTAACTAAGGCATTTCGTTCACGATGGCAAATTTGCTTTCTTACATTGAAAGAACAACCAGTCATACAGTATATAGCATGATCAAGTAGCCAATCGCAAGGTTTAAATCTGTAAAATAGGTATAAAAAATTGACAAAAAATGGAAGATCAGACGTTTTGAAACATTTCCCAATAAAACCTAATTGGGAAAACCAAATTAGGAACCATTCAGGATTTTGCATGTGGATATAATTCCTCATTGAAGTGATAAAGTTATCGGCAGCTATAATATCATCTTCCAGTTGAACGTAATACTTGCCTCGACTTGTAGCATACATCATTAGATAGGCAAAATCTAAGTTTTGCTTACTACGCCAATTAAATTGAGCACGTTTATCTCCAAGATTAGCAGGAATTTTGTCGAAATCAGGATAATAGCAGGCTGGTGGAGCGATAATATCAATTAATCCAGTCTGTATATGAGAATCGAAAGCAGTTGATAATTCAGTAGCAAGCTGTTTTCTGTCCTCATTATTCCTTTCACCAATATAAATAACAATTACGGTGTCATCAAGATCACTTGGCGACGTACTACTTATAATCGATTTGATAGTTTGATAGATATAACTTTCTTTTTTACGTTTGACAGTTGGAACACCTAGAATGAATGAAGCCTGGCGTCGATGACTACTGGATATGTGGACTACAGGCTCTCTACATTCTCTTTTTGCAATTTGTGGTAAAATATGCAGCACCGATGGCAGTTGAAGAAGAGAATGAAAAACCATAAAATCGTCGGTATTTTCCGAAGATCTATTCTTGACGTTTAAGGTTTTATTTTGAAGCATGCCTATCGCTAAATTGACTTCTTGATTGGATGGTAACAGACCACCTTGATTGGAGTATAATTTATCATTATCGGAGCTATTTGAACAGTACATCCATTTGAAAAGCCAACTTCGGTAAAGAAGGAGAGTTAAAATTACAACGATAATAATTGCGTATTTCTTACGTCGAATTAAGTAGTTGAGGACCATTTTTACAGCATTCTTCCAGTCAGTTAACGTCTTTTAATGTCCTTTTTGGATTGGGGTTACAATATCGATAAGATCTAAGATATTAGGTCTGTCAATTGTTACGACTGCAGTATCAAAGTGTAGTCCACACGTCTCTTTTTATGATTACAGCACTCTCCACCGTACAGAGATGATGTATAATGAAAGGGGGTCGATGTACGCGTCAATATTCGTAATCTTTCAAACAAATAGAACAATCTTTGAAAGATGGAGGACTCTATTTTAAGGGTATAATTTTCTTCTTCAAAAAATATTGCGTCGGTTAATCAGTGTGTAGTTGAAGTAATTTTTAAAAGAACGATGATTACTATGGATTATAATGATGATGGATTGAAGAAGGAGTTATTCTATCCTTTCTACAACAAAAATGATCCGCTAATGTCTTACTACGGTGTTAATCCTGATTGTTATTGTACAGTACAGTATTTGGATGATAAAAGTTAGCCAACCATGCACCACGATGTCGATAATCCTTTCCACTTTGAATACTGTCCTTCTTGATCGTGCTCCTATGAATAGTATTGTTCAAGAGTCATTCTAGTTTCCTCGTTAAAGTAAAGAACATGAAATTGTCTTCCAACAAGTCCACAGCGCAAGAACCCGAATCAAGGTCGGTATCGATCGATTGAAAGCCTTCACTTTGTAATCGCCATGGGGCAAAATTGGTATAAGAAGGCTAATTGAATAATTAATTAATGGAAGTACTGTAGGTTGCAGTCCAACTCGTCTACTATCTCTATCGAAATTGCTTATAAAACAGTATCAATTAAGCTGGATCCGATAATTTCAGTACCGTCAAGAAGCGCAAAGTAAGAAATCAGGCTATGCCAACACTTTTCAGACTAAAAGATCGCTAAGACGAGAATCAGCCAAGCCAACGAACTGCTTGATCTTTCCGATCATGAATCACCCACATGTGACCATGAACGACAGTCTACTTTGGACAAAAAGGACTGTAACTTTGTTGACCAATCAATACGTAGTCCAAAGCAGCAAGTATCGATATCAATTGATCTACCATGCAATTATGAATTCTGCCCAAGTCTAGGTGTTAATTTGCAATAGTTTGCAAAGAGTTGTCTTGCACTACAGAGTGGCTCATTTCGTCGATGCGTAGACTGGTACCGCGTTGAGGATAGACTATTAATCGAATCGACCAAGGCACCAGTTGGCAGTCTGGTACGGACGGACCGCTGGCTATACAGTTTGCTACCCTTATGTTGACTTGGCGTTGGGGATGGTATGAACTAGACCTGACACGGACAGCCGTTCCAACACTGGGTACGGCACATTACCAGCAATAGCGAGGAATGGGCCCACGTCTCGGACGTTCGTACATCTGGACCTCCATCTTGTTTAATATACTTTCGTCATTTAGTTATTTTTTCTAGTAAATAAATAAATGAAATCAATCCCAATCTAATTGATTACTGTATGTTCTGCTTGAAAGTCGACGTAGAACATCGTCCATGTTTTTTTTAAATGAGCAGTAGTGATTGATGCAAAAACAGACACAGTAGATCTATGCTAAGCACTGTAAATCATTTTCGACCCTAGAGCTCTATCAATGCAAAACCTCCATGTTACGACATTTTCCTACGTTAATTAATTAATAATGAATTCATTACAGTACTGCCTTACTCTCTACACATACAGTATATACTGTGCTGTATAACATATATGTGTATACTGAGGAGGAATGTCTTGTCTACAGTACTAGGCAACTGTAAAATGAAGAAGAAAATGCTTTCTTTTCTTGATCATGGTGACAGTACAGTACTGTTTATATACGAGCATATAAAAAAATGGGATGAGTACGATGGAGCGAGTATTGGGTGAGTTAGTATTATTTTGGATACGCCAAAGGGTTTAGTAGTCTCCGCCATGGTGCTATCATGTATGGTTGCTGTGCTAAAAACTCCTATATTAGAATTAGAATTATTGTAAAATGAAAATTATTCAAATTCAAATTAGTAACCAAAAGGGGATGACTACAGTAATTTCAAATGATTAGCGGAGTGAGCTAGTCTGCGATACAGGGCTACATTAGAATACGTTTTTTCCCTACCCATGAGGTCTTTAGAACGGAAATAATACTTCTTGGTAAACTCATCTTAGAGAGCAATATGGGACTGGAATGGCAAGGAAAATAATGCAAATGGGGCTAAAACCGTTCAATGAGCATTTTATCTGAAATTTAGCCAACGCTTTTCCGCGACATTGCAATCTACCGCATTTCGACTTGACAATAGCTATTTCTGTCCATACAGTCTGTCCATTTTCCTCCACCTGATACTAGTACTGTAGAGTACAGTACAGTAGTACAATACAGTACTGTATAGTACTTCTGGATGAATTCTTGACTACAGTACTGTACTGTACACTGTACCGTATGGCGGTAGCCTCCTACAGTATATGCACAGCACTGTATCTCATACTAGTGTACTGTACATACAGTACTGTACTGTACAGTGTACAGTACAGTACTGTACACTCGGGCTGCTGAGATCGATTGATTGTAACGACTGTAGAAGAGGACCTAAACTGATCACGTTTGGACGGACAGACCATTCCCGCCTCATTTCATTCAAATAGTGTTTCAGAGACTTGGTTATGACGGTACTTTAGCATGTAGACGATAGATTTGAAATGGACTGATTTTGTGGAAATTAAGTAATACTGTATTACTGTAAGTTGAATCTTGATCATCTGTTACTAAATTCTGCTTGAAAGCAGTTTTATGAGATGGTCAATGTTATTTAAATGAGAACTATTGATTTAAGAAACAGAGACAAAAGGATAATACGAAGTAGCCATTTTTCGATATTGAACGTCTTATTCGGTCAGAAAAGTCCCTCTGTCTGAGGGAATGATCAGTCCAGGTCTTCTTCTTGGTTTTAGATGGACAGAACAGTTCAAATGGCTGGAGAAATAGTCAGCCTGCACACATTTTTGGGCAACGAAAGTCGTTGACAGTCCATCTCTCGTTCTTTAAATCAACTACTACAGTACTGCAGTTTACAGTAGCAGTCCCTGCTAGCTCTGTTGACGGTCCGTACTAGTCCATACTGTTATACTAAAATATGGAAGGTCGCGAAGTATGGCATTACTTTACCACTACCTGCATGATTGGACTTCCATGTATGGTCGTTCCAACTAATTTACAACTCACGCCGTAACACCGGCCTACTGTACATTGTACTGTATTATAGCGTTACAGTACTGTATACTATACACTGTACAGTACAGTACCACTGTACATTACTGTACTGTATGAACAGTGTACAGTACAGTGGTACGAACTGGACATAAGCGGTCCGAGAGTCCTGTTAACGACTGACTGGACCAATAAGGACCATGTCGTAGCCTCGCCTGGACAGAGGACAGCCGCTCTGATCCATGTATGGGTCGCTCCAACTACTTTACAACACTGTCCACTCAGTGTCCAGTGGTTAGGGAAGGCTCCACTAATTAAAGTAGTGCGAACTAGACACAAGCAGTCCGGGAGTCTAGCTGAGGACTGATTGAACCATAAAACCATGTCGTAGTCTCGCCTGGACACTCAGTATCCAGTGGTTAGGGAAGGCTCCATTAAAGTAGTGCGAACTGGACGCGAGCGGTCCAGGAGTCCAGTTGAGGACTGATTGAACCATGTCGTAGCCTCGCCTGGACAGAGGACAGCCGCTCTGGTCTTTGTATGGGTCGTTTCAACTACTGTACTGTACTGTACACTGTACAGTACTGTATTTGACAACTCATGCTGTCACACCGGTCTACTGTACATTGTACTGTAGAATAGCGTTACAGTACTGTCCACTACAGTGGTACGGACTGGACCAAACGGTCCGCAGAGTCCAGTTGATGACTGATTGAACTATGTCGCAGCCTCGCCTGGACAGAGGACAGCCGCTCTGGTCCATGTCACTCCATGCAACGTAGTCATCCAAGTCATTGCTATACCCGCACGGCAAAATGGCAGCAAGGCAAAATGGCAGCATGGCTCAAGCTTAGCGAACACCAGGTACGGAATGCAGTTGGATTTCCTATGACGTTGTATCAATCCACTTTAGCAATCAATAGCGATCATAAGAGGCATGCATGCTGTCGCACATTCATTCTATAGCATTGGACTGAGGAAAGTGGGTCAATGAGTTGGTGTAGTGGACTCGCTGCAGAGCTAAAATGAAGTCACTGAACTACAGTACCTCTCGATCAGTTGAACATGTAACCAACGCTAAATAGCGATCGGTAAACTTTTGAAAGATTTTCATCCGAAATTACCATTCAGTAAGGGATTTAAAGAGGTCCTTTGAATGGATATCTTGCCCACAAGTCATGCTGGGCCTGCTGGATAAAGACTACTGATCGTTGCTCTCTAACTTTAACCATCAGTAGATTACAACTATTCCGACGAGTTTGCCATTCAGTTAAGAGATCAGAACAGATCAATTTAGTTATCAACCTGACAGGTAATTGATCTTTGCAGTTACCGATCAGTACATTAGGAATATTCATATCTATTGGCGATTTATTAGTCAACTTTCCTTATAAGCTTAATTAATTAAGTGAAGGATGAGCAGTGAAGCCATGCTCTAGTCGAACATCAACCGCCCTGTCAATGCAGTACTATTACATTCTAATATATTGTAATGGTCTACCATGACATCTCGACGCAGGATCGACAAACTGTTAATTGATCTATCATTGCGCTAACAATCAATTTCATCATTTTTGCCTTGACCTATATGGATTAAGATCAATGGCAACTTCTAACGTTTTCGTAGGTTGTCATCATGCTTAAAAGTAGTGATTCCTGGCTAAAATCCTATGCACCCCACCCCCTTCAAGTATCTCATAGATTAAAGCTAATACAGTATATTTCTTCCTAGCATTTAGAGGTTAAGATTAGCTCTCAAGTTGAACTTTATGTTGAGGTCTTTGATTAATTACGTATCCATCCGCACTAGATAACATCATTACCTGTTTCCTAAGTGAACTGGATAGTTATCATGGAAGATGAAGGCTGCTAAATTTTATTCAAATTACTTTTATAGGTTAACATTGACAGCCAAGTGGAATATAAACTGTAATTACAGTCCTAGAAATACTCTTTCTCATTGGATAGATTGGTATGTATATCTCTATACAATATTAGTATCAATAACTGACATCAAGGTTCATTGAATGTGTAATTAAACTCGTAACTATACCTACATTTCCTATAGTGTATTAATATTTGCAGATGAGAAGTAGATTTAGCCATAAACTTATTCGCGTGCTTATTATCATAGATGTTTCGACGGAGAATAGTTCAAAACGTTCAAGATATTACCGACTTGGCAAGTCTATCCTAGCGTGATACTAACCTCATCTTTGCAACCGAAATTTCTATTGATTTTACGTACATAAATTGCATTATTTTCAATTAAAAATGATGAGTAATAGTGTTAGTCTACAAAATCAGTTCGAGCAGGCGGTTACCAGTTACCTGAGGCAATGGCCAGTAGTCGAGCTGATAATTTCTAATGGTTTTGCTGGTAGCTTAACAAATGAAAAAGTCGATTGGTTAATTACTACTGCCGTACCACAAATATTTTATGAAAACGGTAACTTGAATATATCTGATTATTCTACAGGATATTTCTCTAGATGAATCGGACGCAAATTGATGTATTTTCATGCTCGAATCAAGAACGCTTACTACGACTGCTATATGCATGCATGTACTACAGTAGATAATATGCAATCGGCTTAATTGAATAGCAATCTATCGAATTGAACTCAAAGGCTACATCTCATAAAAGAGATCTCTAAATCAATATTGTTACAATAGACTAGACCACTGCTAGCTGATTAATATTGCACATTAAAACTAATTTGATACTAGTGTACTATTTACAAAATAACCATGTATTATACTATAGCTACAAATTATGCATAGAAGTAGTATATTCATCACAAATAAGTTTCATTATTTTAGCTTCAGTTGTTATAATCCATCAACGCATTTATCATAGACTTAAAATAATCATGCAACCTGATATAGTGAAAATGAATGAAGCAATAACGACATATTTGCTAATATCAAAAAAAAACTCGATATCATTTTATTACAGCAAAATATTTTTCTAATCCTTACATTATTAGGAAACTTATTTCCAGATGATGTCGAATATTATCTATCGCATATATTATTTCATGAATTTGACACTGTCGTGGAGGATGGAAGTTTATCGGATGTAAGATGATATTGACCATTTTCCTGGTTGGTCCAACGTTAACTATCTATATATATATATATATATTAGTAATATCCATTGTATTTGAAATTAATAGACTTCAAGAAAATTAATAGATCTGCATGATATGTACAAGAAAGGAAATGAAACACTTTTACAAGATCAAATAATTTTATATAGTCAAACTGTAACACAACAGCAAGGCTCAGAAATTATTGACAGTATGAATGCGATGCAATTAACACATGATCCCTCTGTAGAGCAGAGTCGTACGGTAAATCAGGCTGAAAGCAATGCGAATGTTAATAATACTGATCAGGGATTTGCTCAAAATAATGAGGATAATGATGGTTGGCAAGTTGTGCAATCTAGAAAGAATAAGGAAAGATAGAAATGCAATCAACTTCAATAGATTTGTTAGCAATACGGTTTAATCATACTGTGTTATGTTAAGGCAAACAACTATCAGAGACGACTGAAGCAGCCTCTGTGTGGTAATCATACAGAATTCAGTGCTGCAGGATACAATACGGGTATAGCAATAAAGAATTGTATTATACGCATCAAAATGACATTTATAAATTTTAAGATTTTGTTACTATACCTCTTGTTCGGAAAGATAATTAATTAATATAAATGAGTTACAAGTTGATACCGTAGTCATTTCAATTGTTAATTCTCTAGCTGATTTGGTAGCAATCTAGTCAACACAATATATACCAGACAATAGTATTTATAATAGGTGAATATTTCACATCTTTCATTGGCATTAGAATTTCTGGAAAGGATTCTTCAGGTCTGTTGTAGTAATTAATAATGTTTAATTAAATAAAGAAATACATGGAAATGCAGCTAAAATGTTAAGTTTCATACATTTGTATTACAGCCACCTTGAAATGATTATTATAAACTTCTGCAATACCGTGCCGATCAGACTTAATATTACCAAGTCATTCGAAAGAATATGGTATGAGTTGCAGCACGAATGTCCTTGAATGATAAACTATTAGAAAAATAGTCTAGGCATTAAAAACAATCTAGAGTAATTAGCATTATAGTTTCACAATTGCTAAATTATAACC